CTTATTTATTTATTTATTCGGACAACATAAGCCGAACTGTGGTAGTTCTGAGCACAGAAGTGAAATGCTCGATAAACCCAGTGAGTGGTCAACTGGCAAAGATCGATCAGCGCCCCGGGAACAGAATTTGACGTCTGCACTATTGTATTTGCTTGTCGTTTAATACGCCAATGGACTTTGAAGCCGATGTGTAAAGAATATTAATTAACATGTTAAAATAGAAGCCAACTCGCAATCGAAAATACCCATAATTTGTCTATTTTGCAATAATTTCTTCTCCCGCCTTATTATATAAGGATGTTGATTTAAAAGGTTTTAGGTTTTACTAAGATTTAAGTGTGAGATATAGCAATTCAGGTTTCAAGGGGTGTCGAGGGGTTCAAATAAGGAGCCCAGGAAGCATGTTCTCTGTTGGCATTGTTGGGACAATGAGTTACCCTGTATTTTCGGACGTCAGTGAGGACTTCGTGTATCAACGAATGGACCATGGTCCGCAATAACACGCGCAATTCTGATGAGCACGTGAAAATCCTGCAAAGTCTCGATGTAATGGATATAAAAGATGGGGTTTATTGGTTGACAACATTTATTTTTAGAGGCGAGGAAGGTAGACGGAAATTGCTATCCTCCCAAAACATTACTCTCTCTGGTTATGAGATTACAAAGTTACATGTGCTATGAACGCCAACAACGTATTACTTTCCTAACTGTCGAACGTCGAATTTAAAAAGAGGGCAAATAGATGCCTTATGGAAAATTCGCCTCGTGTACTACTACGAACAATGTTATCTTTAAATGGAACTAACTTTGCTTTGAGAAGTGGTATGGAGGATCGCGCATTGCGTTTCAAAAATCCTCAAATAACATTGTTTGTACCACCTGGTGAAACGGCGTATGTAGAAGATGTTTCCAAAAACTAACCAAGCTCGGCTCAAACATCGCGGCGTTCGTCTAAAGAAGTGAAGTATTACGCAAACATTATTGATCCGGTGCGCTGCCACGTTAGGATTTATAAGAAGTACGTGTCCTGGGATATTTAAAGGGATTTTAATTGCAGCCCTCCGAAAATACGAAGAGTCGTCCAAAATCTGGTTCAGCAAACAACCACTAGGGCACAACTCAATGACACTGGTTGTACCTGAGTTTTTTAAAGCAGCGGGGGTAGATGAAACCTGTTTACGAGCTACAGCAGCTACTAGTCTCTATGAAAGTGGTATTGCTAGACAGCTCATTATGAAACGTAAAGGACATCGTTCAGTTGAAGTTCAGTTGAATACACTTGTATTACAAGCAATCTTATCTTCCAATTGCCAGACTTTCATGCTGTGCCAGTTACATTCGTATTCATTTGTCAAATGTCTCGGAAACGATTCTATTTTGAAGAGGTTTTGATACTAGACCACTTCCTATGACATAGATAGAAAAAAAAACAATTGTCGTGCAGTGGGCCAGCATCTAAATCTTGCGCGAGAACTACGTTTGTCCTTTTTTTCAATAGGAGTTCGTAGCTATAAACGATCGTCCAAGAACTTGGAGAAGAAAGTCGGCGATATTTTAAATAGTGCCAGCTCGTCTTGTTGAGAGATCAAGACATTTCAGTTTCCAAGAAGACACAAATGAAGATGAAGCATCGAATGTTTACAACAACTGTGTTTTCAATATTAATATATAAAAATCGATTGATTTCATGGTTCGTTTCAAATCTATGTAATAATTGTGATCAGCCATGATGTAATAAATATTAAATATCATTCCCAGGCTTTGCCGCGAAATATATCACAACCATACCAAGGGAGGCCGGATATAAGGAATTACACGAGCCTAGGTCGAGTTTAATTTAAGATATCCTGTCGAGAAACGGGGGGGGGGGTCGATATCATCGCCATGCAAGATATCGACCTTCTTCAAAATATCGCCCCAATACGCGGTCATGCTAAAAAATATCGCCCAATTTTCTATTGTTTAAAACACTGCGAGATGTGTGTGAATTATAAACAACTTTTTTAAGAGTAACGAGAGTAGACTTACAATTATGTTCATGGTGACCATATTAGACCTAATTCTAGGCACGGTGTTGTAGTCAAAGCCGGGTGGTCAGTCGCACATGTACGGTGACTAAAACTGGAGCCAATACCGGATGTCCAATCGTACATACACTGGCGTTCACGGTGACCAAAATCTTAGTCAATACCGCTTGTTCATTTGCATGTACACTGACGTTCACGGTGACCAAAATCGAAGCCATTGCATGAACGTTCACGACGACTACATAGTGGTGCGTATGATGCTGTTCGGCAACTGATATTTTTGAAAAATAGGTTTATTATGATGACATAAAGTCTCCGCAAGAAAATAAAATTTAAAAATGAACTTCAACTACGGTGCTGCTCGTGTATCTTAAAAAGTTAAATGGTAGTTCAAGGGTCTATTATATGTTACTCCGGACTTGAGTTGTATTGATGTTTCCCTCGCTAAACACCGCGGAAAATAATTCTGACATAATATATTTGCAATAATCGTAATCTGGTATTCCACGAGATATTGCTCAATTCACTCGCCTACGGCTCGTGAATTTATGTCGTGAATTGTGGGATATCTCGTGATATACACGCCTTTAGAGTGGTGTTATGCTTAAATGTTCGCTACGTCATACAATTGTAGTATAAGCCATATATGTGTATAGCGTCTAGTGACAATTAAAGTTTGAGTCTTTGACGCTAATTATCATCCATTCATAACACTGAATTGATTTTAGTGTTGAAACTCAACACAATGATAAATTCATTTGTGTAGAATTTTAAAATGAGGATATTTATTCATAAGTCAGCTATTGAATTTCTATGTTTGGAGAATAAATTACACACGTCAACGCGAGTACCTAATTTCATACCGTGCTCTGTATATACTAGA